TTGCACAACAACTCCAGTCCTCTGACAGCTTCCAGTGAACAATCTGGGTCTCTGTATCAACACAATGAATAAATACAGACTACTTCCACATGTCTAACATGCAGGGGTGAAGTTAGACCTGGGAGCACTTCTTATTGGACACTGGGAGAACTTATAATATTCCAACATGGACTCCGCATATACTTTGAATGCCAAGTGCAGTAGATGCAACATTGTCAAAAGAATTAGCCTGGAGGAACTTAACATCGACCAGCGACATATGGAGCAGATAGATAATGTCGTTAATCAACATATTAGTTTGGACCTCCATACTACAGCATACATCCTCTTAGCCTTGCATAGCTGAACATGCATTCAAAAGTGAGAAAGGGCTCCCCACCTATGCTATTTGAAGGGACTGTCAATCACTCATAAGTTAGCTGCTGGTTGATTTAATCTGATTGTTACCTCGACTATATAATTTCAGTGCTTCTTCACACTTGTGACAAGTTTTAATTGTCTACAGGGAGTGGGCTGGCTGGTGCTAGATGACTGTGAAATAAAGACTTGTGCACCAAGTTGTTCCTTGCAGAAATAAGTAGCAGAATAAACCCTTGTCCTGGAATTGATCATGACTGGGAGAATGAAGAGAGCAGGACAAGCTGCTGGAAGGAGGAGGAGTCAGTCAGGGAGAAGAGCTCCCAGAGGACTCCCTGTCTGAGGAGCTTAGAGAAGAATGCTGACCAGAAACAGGAATGCATTTCAATTTCAATATCATGTGGAGCTGAAGGAACACAGCAGGTCAGGCAGCATCAGAGGAGCAGGAAATTTGACGTTTCAGATTTACATCCGTCATCAGGATGAAGGGTATAAACTCAAAATGTCGAATTTCCTCTCCTCTGATGCTGCCTGACTCACTGTGTTCCTCCAGCTCCACACTGTATTGACTCTGACTCCAGCTATCTGCAGTTCTTACTATCCCCTAGCATTTCAATTTTCCTGGAGGTGGCTTCTGTGCCTTGATAGCAAATCATCCTAGATTTTTAACGAAGGAATTACAAAGCATTTTCCAAGGGAAATGGAATTTTATTAGCAGGGAATGGGACCCATACAGTGTTTGCAGCACATCAACTTGTGGACGGTGAGTGCACAGCAGAAGGTGGGAGTGTTACGAAAACATTAAGCAATCTGCATGTTAAAGATAAAAAATGATGCCAGAGGGCATCTACAAATAGGGAGTTGCAATTGCAAATTATTTCATACAGACTGAAGGTATGAATCATTATGGTGGTGAGGAATTGGCTACATTTTGCTTCAACCATTCTGCATCTCAATCTTGAGATGGTCGTCTCAGTGTGTCTGGAAGGTACACAACACATCCATATCAAGTGCAACATTTGAAAACCTGGGATCTTGCTCTTTACTATGGTCAACTTCCTTAGACAACTCCTTCTAAACCCATGGCCACTACCAGCTATAAGGCCAAGGGGATACATGGGAACACCACCACCTGCAAGTTCTACTCCAAATCACTCACCAACCAGACTTGAAAATATATCACTATTCCTTCAGTGTCATTGGGTTTAAATCCTGGAACTCCCTCACTAAAAGCTTCGTAGGTCTACCTACAGCATACGAACACGTGATAGTTCACCATCACATTCTGAAGAGAAACGAGGGATGGACAATAAATACTGGCACAGCAGTGATGCCCACAATCCATAAGTAAATACAAAAATAAACTTCTCTCTTTCCTAGGTTAGATTTCATTGCGAAGACATGTTGTAGTCACAATGTACCTTTCTTTTAAGAGGTACAGAATGGCGCTAAGGAATGCCTGTAGGTCATTAGCAGCAATGGAGCGCTGGCTGCACGTAGTAATCACTGTAATTAGCACCAAGTTAATGTGCCAACTGTACTCCATTCAATTGGCTTAGGTTTAACTGTCCAACCTGATCCCCAGGCCATATTTGGAGGTCAATCGAACCCTCACCCACAGAGCAGACACTCTACATTCACAGACCTTAGAATGAATTACAGCTAGGCTGCTACAAAATATTAAATGCAGTAGATCAAAAGATGGTTAGAAGACTTCCAACCCAGGGCTGCAAACAGAATTTTGCAATATTTTTTCAACAGTAAATTACGAACATGATCGCAGTATCTTTGACCCACTATCTGCAGTGTGAAAATGTCTGAGTGAATTGGCTTCTTCTGTTGACAATAAAATGCACTTTGCCAGTAAAGAGCTGCAGTCATAGAATTGTTGGTTAGCATTTTGGAGGTTAGGCAGTAAGCTAAATTATTCATTAAATGACTTTTGCTATGGTTTATTTCAAGATTCTGTGTTCGGTAGTGGCAGGCATCATTACACTCTGCACAGAAATTTACACAATTTGAGGCACAGATCTAGATAGATGGTACATTGCTTTCAAATTACAGTTCAGCAGAAGCTTAGGGCAAATATTTTGTGAAGCTCCTTTCAAGTGACAATGAAGAGAATAAACAGTTATGGGAAGCACTGCCTTTTAATGTCAAAAGAAGAAATTCTACTCAAAACATCGTTTCCCAGGTGCCCTCTGACAGTAACTTATAAAGAGCAAAATTTCAAGGCCAAGAAATGACAGAAGGACATCAGCTGAGGATAAAACTACCACTCTCTGCTATTAAACTACTGTGTCTACACTGACATAAAGAGGATAGTAATGATACTGGGAAGACTGGTTCACAATCTGACTTTCAAGAGCCCAGATGTGAAGAAATGTAAGAGTGGATCGTAAAATTGCCTAATTCCAGCCTGGTATAAGTCAAGTTTCAAAAGTTAATACAGCGTGGAGCTAAGGAACACAGCAGGCCAGACAGCATCAGGGGAGCAGGCAAGCTGACGTTTTGGGTCAGGACCCTTCTCCAGAAAAAAATTTTCTGAAGAAGGGTCCTGACTCGAAACGTCAGCTTTCCTGCTCCCCGGATGCTGCCTGGCCTGCTGGGTTCCTCCAGCTCCACACTGTTATCTCTGACTCCAGCATCGGCAGTTCTTACTATCTCTCTTCAAAAGTTAATAGGAAGTTCAAAAAATTGCCTGGAAACATTTTTGATTTTAAGTGCTCTTGCTGTAAAAGAGCTGAAGCTCCTCTCTGTTCTCCTCTAATGTTAATATAACTCTTTAACTAATTAACTGGCAAGAACATTGTTCTTTTGCACAGGACAGAACACAACTTGCAGCTAACAGTGTAGCTCCTCAGCTGTATGTTACCCCCCACTAAGACCAGAAACTGTGACATAACATGACTATTAAAAGTTTGGGTGTTTCAATCTCATCCTCAAATAAGAGCAACAATGGAAATAAAAAGTGCAGATGCTTGGCTGAATGGAAATTTCCTTCATCAAATATTAACTGGTTCAATTGCTCCAAATAGGACCATGCTTTACCCATCATGAATGCAACAAGGTGCATGAATTTTAGGCAGTCTCAATGAACCCTTAAAAATTAGCAGTCTTCACATAAAACTGCTTGTAACTAATTGGTATTATTATACAGTTTCACACTTGAGCAACCGAACATTTTGCACAGCAAGTGGACTGGGGCAGGGGGAGGTTTAGAAGGGCAATGATGAGTATTGAAATGTAAAGCTTCAGCTGCTAATCCTTATACTAGAGTAAAGCATCAGCAAGACATCTATTATGAAACGAAGCTTTAAAAACCTCTCCCTCCTGACCAAACAGCCACTGATGTCAAGAAACAAAACACTGGAGTTAACATGGAAGGATTGAAAATATATTGGGATACATTCTAGATAGAAGGTTCCATTGAACTTTCGTGGTAATCTGGACCATCATTTCTCCACACAAGTTAGAAGTGAGCATTAGTCAGTAGTTTTGCAAAATTGCTGGAAAGAAAAGGACCATAATCATTTTTGTTGTTGTGATCTAAAAGCAAATTCAATCAGAACTTTCCAAGGGGTATTGAATAAATACTTGCAAAGAAAACATTTGCAGGGCTATAGGAAAAGGTTGGGACTAATTGGAAACTTCTTTTTTAAAAATGAGCATAAGGACAAAGGACTAAATAGCCTCTTTCTGTGCTGTATAACTCCGTGATCCTTTCCACTTATTCCCCGCCCCCACCCCCAAAGTGTACAGGAGGCAGTGGGCTTTATGCATGCCTTGATTTGAACTCAACTCTATTTACAGATTGAAGATTTGATGGATGCTGAGTGGGTAGAACTACCACCTGGTGCTCTGTGAGAAGTAGTTTATGTACTGCCATAGCCCTCAGGGTTTGCAGCAGCCAGGTGTTTGTTATTTGCGGCTTGCTGGCTGGAATAAAATTCAAGCAATTTCCAGTATCTGCTGCATGACTGAGCGATGGCGGCCGGAGTGGAGTGGGGAGGTGAGTTAACAATGTGTTCTCTTCAACCTAATGCGTGGTGATTGAGTCTGGAGGAAATCTGGCCCCACCACCTCTTTGTATTTAGTTTTTTTTCCCACTAAATCAATTTAAAAATAAGATGGAAACAGCCAAGGAGATGTTGTCCGATTTGTAGCCAATTTGATTAAAAGTGTGGAACATTTATTGCAATTGTTTGAGTCATTTAACAAAATAAAACCACAATTTCTTGTGCAAAACCTTCTCACTTTGGTCCCTCAGCTTAGGTTAAACTTTAGAAGAATATACAGTTTCTTTTATTTCCGAGGACCAACTGTCCTTGTTGTTGACCAAGTGCACAACTTGACTGAGTACAGATTTTGACATTTAATAACAATTTTGTCCAGAAGTTCAGGACAGATTATGCCTGGTCAAAGTTTTTAATTTCGACCCACATTCACATTTAAACTGGTCACTTTACTTCTATTTTTCGTATAAAAACAAAGCTAGATGAAAGGTGTGAAGCTCCAAGACAAAGTCTACTTTGTGTGTTTTGCTGTACTTCCATGTTTATGAAGCATATTACTGTAGAGGAAAATGGAAAAGGAAGAGAAACCCATGTTGACATACTAAAAGATTCAAGAAAATGTTGCAATTAAATTCTGAGAGGTTCATAATAAATAGATGACGTATACACACCTTCAGCCTTGGTATAGATAGCAATATTTCCATTAACAAGTCCAGCGTAGAGACACTGTAATTTGTATCCGAGGCTCACCACTGTCGATCTATCCGGAGTAAAGAAATGCTGCAATCGCACTTTTTTCGAAGCCTGATTGCTCTTGTACACAGAAATGCTGCAGTAGGATAAACAAAGATATCTCATCATAATTGTCTGTGCTGTCCGCCGCAACTCATGCCATAAAGGAAAGGGCATCGAATGAAACCCTCGTTTCCAGTTTTACTCAGTGGAATTTATTTGCGTAGATCTTGACATTGTATGACAGTGTAACAAGGTTACAACGAGTCAGCAACTCATTTCACGCATGTCTGACTTTATCACCTTGGAATCAACGGAAAATAAAAATGAGGGAAATATAAAATGAGCTGCTGACCTTATTGCTTGTATTACATTATTTTATAAAGTGCAGATTTACACCATGCTGCCTATGTTGGTTTCCATTCATGTGCTGAGCTTTTTTTAAAAATGGTTACACTGATAAAAACCAGCATGAGTCTATCAGAATAAGTGTGAGGAAGTTTCACATTTTCATGCAGTTCTCTAATACGAAGGTAAAGTTAACAAATTCAAAATGGGACTTCTAACTTTCATTTTGATTACAACCACTTATCCGCAATCTGGTCGTATCCAGTTTGCGTCTCAATGGTTTTGAACCTATTTAACATATTTTACCTCTCCTTTACCACCATCAGCATTTCCTTTGTTTTTCACTCTGGTCATCCTCACCTTCTGTTATGCTTGCTTCCTCTCCCACTAAGTCTACACATCATTTAAAAAAAACACTACTTGTCACCCATGTTCTGAAGGATAGGCAAGTTAACTCAAAATATTCACTGTTTCTTCCCCTACAGATGCTGCCAGACTTGGTTAGATTCTCAGGCACTTTGTCTTTATGGCTATCTTAAACGTTATTGATAGAAATGGCGTATTTTCAAACTGCATAAGAGTTTGTTAAAAATTCAAATGTATGCAATTTTCTTTTTTTTTTGCTCCATTTTTGGATCCTTGAAGGAGAGGCTTCGGAAGTAGTTTATGGCAGATACGAGGAAAAAGCACAACTGGGGAAGAAAAGGCTAGCCACCTGGGCCATGAATATACGTTGCACCTGAGTCTACAGGTAGTTCTGCTGCAATGCGTGTTTCATTAACGCAAATTGGCTATAATGTGATTGATGAATAGTGGACGCTGTTTGGATAACATGAACTTTCTGCTGTACAGGTATAGTGATTGTCTATAGCGATTTCCCTATAACGCAATTTTCTATAGCGCAAAGTCACACAAGAACACAACTATCGTGATATAGAAGAACTACCTATACTGGTGAAGGCAGCAGCATTTCTAAGATTTTAGATTTCAGTTCTTCACTGTTTTGAGCCTGACACAAGAAATAAGGAATGGTCAAGAGGGCAAGGGGCCTTTAAATTGGTGACCGTGGTTAGGGTTGGCCTTATGGAGGTTTATAAAATCATGAGGGGCATGGATAGGGTGAAAAGCCAAGGTCTTTTCCCAGGGCAGGGGTGTCCAAAACTGGACGGCATAGGTTTAAAGGTGAGATGGGAAAGACTGGAAAGAGAACTAGGGGGCAACTTTTTCACACAGACGGTGATATACAAATGGAATGAGCTGCCAGAGGAGGTGGTGGAGGCTGGTACAGTTACAACATTTAAGACATCTGGATGGGTGCGCGGAAGGAAAGGTTTAGAGGGATATGGGCCAAGTGCTGGTAAATGGGACTAGGACAGTTTAGGATATTTGGTTGGTATGGATGAGTTGGAACTAAGGTGTCAGTTTCCACCCTGTATAACTCTATCACTCCTTATTCATTCATAGTATAACACCTTGGCTTCCTGACATCTTGGCACAGTTTCCTGATTGAGTGGTAAGTCCACCATCACAGTGCTAATTGACCAGCTTCCTTGCCAAGTTGAGAGGGTGGTCTTTCAATTAAATAGAGGAATGAAGAGTTTTGGAGAGGGGCTACAAAGTATAAGATATGATGGCATTGTATGGCAGTTATTTATGTAATGATACCCAGAGAGGGACAGAGTGTACAATTTTTTTTAAGCAGCAAATAGGGTCAAAGTGGGAACAAATCCTTAAAAACGCAAAATTAATAGTTCTTTACTTAATTGCATACAGTATTCTAAATAAATGAATTAACAACAGAAATAAAGGTCAATGTGTATAATCTTACAGCCATCATTATGGAGTCATGGTAACAAGGAGATCAAAGCTGGGATCTTACATGGAATGAGGGCAGAGTTGGCTGGACTGCACTGGGAAGGTTTAGCAGCAAAAACAGTTGATGAATAATGGTCGGCTTTTGAGAAAATAGTTCACGATTAACAACAAAGATGTATCCCAGTGAGGTAAAAGGATTCTAGGAAGGGGATAAACCAATCATAGTAAACCAAGGAAAATGAAAATTGTATATCTTTTCTTTCATTTTGATACTATGTGACAAAGATTAGTGGTAAGCTAGAGGATTGGTAAAGTTTGAAGAACCAATAAAAGATTACCAAAAATAGCAAAAAGAGAAAATAAACTGAGGGTAAATGAGCAAGTAGCATAAAAAGGGATAGTAAGAGCTTCTTTAAATATTGAATGGTGGTTTCAAATTGATGGGTTGAATGGCCTTGTATTCCTATGTCTTATGATAAGGCAGATGTGAGCTGACCACTCATATCCCAATCTGCCTTCCATACACAGTAAAAATCCAATCAAAGGGTTTGTATTTGCAAAATGATTACAACTGTTGTTCCACACTGGAGCTATGCTGTTCTGGGTCACTCAAAGGCAGTATTACAGTACCAGAAGCAAGCAAGAAATAAATGCAAGCCACTTCACCCAAGAAAGGAAGTGTATTTAGAGGGGGACGACAGAAGTGCACTAGAGGGAATACAAGTGTGGTGTGGGGGAGGGGGGGTACCGGGGCGGGGAAGAGCGGAGAAAGAGAGGCAGGGAAGCAAAGAATGAACAAGATCATGTTTGTGACCATCTAATCTGATTTTAGATGAAAAAGGGATAATTATTCATCAGGACATTAGACTCTTCAAAGAGTAGGTTGTCAATCATGTTGTAGCATAGTACATCAAGAATTGAAAATTTCTAAAAATCTTGTTTCAAATGCCATTTGTCTTATGATCGCAGCTGATGATACTACTGGACTTATTAGATTCCAGACTGAAATCTAGCTTCACAGATCATGTTTTGTATTTTTTATTTAATGGGTGGTCTTTCACTGCAACATAAGAATGCAATGCTGGTTTTAACAATAAAACAGAAATCTCTTACACAAAAGACATTAAGATAAAATATGAAAAAAATAAGCTATTTACATATCACATAATATGAAAGATTTCAGAACATGCAGCAGAACAATATGCTATCTACCCTAACTCCATAAGTTTACAGTTCTCAAACATCAGAGATAGTACCTTCTTGAAAACATCAAGAACCTTAACTGTTTCTTTAAATTCCTGGCCTTTTTTAAAAATAGTCATTCATAGGATCAGGATGGCATTGGCCAGGCCAGCATTTATTGCTCATCTTTAATTGCCCACAGGGCAGTTAAGAGTCAACCATGTTGTGTGGACCTGGTCTCACATGTAGGCCAGACCAGGTAAGGATGACAGTTTCCTTCCCTAAAGGAAATTAGTGAACCAGATGGGTTTTTCTGACAATTGACAGCAAAACATTGGGCATCATTAGACTCCTAATTCCAGATTTTTAAAACTTGAATTCAAATTCCACCATCTGCCATGGCAGGATTCAAACCCAGATCCCCAGAACATTACCTAGGTCTCAGGATTAACAATCCAGCGATAATACCACTAAGTCATTGCCTTCCTTATTGGTATCATCTTGAAGGCGAACCAAAACAAAATGCTTTCCAATCCACAGGGTATTCCCTCATCAAAAAAAATCAGTTCTTGTTTATTCTAATCTAAAAGTAAGATAATGCCTGTAAAAGTTTTCTCTCTCCGATTGTAAAGTATTCACAGTACAAAAGTCCTCATATCATCACTCAGGAAGGCTCCAATCATCTGCTCTCTGACAAATACTGGTAAAGCAATGGCTCCATAAAGACTAACAAGTTAATAGTTAAATCCCCTCATCCACAGAACAAAACCCACATGCCCCTAGTTCATAATCTAAATGCTAAGTAAAAGATATTAATGGATATCTAAGAGAAATATTACACACCTTACAGCACACTTTAAGAGGCAAGAAAACACACAGTACAGAAGTGATACATAATGTTGTAGTTGAAGTTCATTGTTAATTTTACACAAAGTGCCACACTTGTTTTGGTGAGAAGTTTGGGGGACAAAAAAATGATTGGCAATTAAAAGGTCAGATATCTTTTGCTGTGAAATACATTTGATGACATTCTGAGTAGTGGCTACAATTGATCAGGAGAGCAATGTTTCGATAAACTGTGATATTTATTCTATAAGGACATAAGAGGAAGGTTAACATCCCGATGGCTCTTTCTTCATACACATGAAGGAAATACTTTGAAGTAAGTAATGTGTAACTAAAGTGGAACAAAATTTGTCTTCAAGGCCTCTTGAATGAGATGCCTTAAACAGTAAAATATTGAGGCCAATCAGGTCCAATCAATGTTGCTGATGGGAGTCTGTATTTGTTTTCAAGTCCACAGACTCCTCCTCTTCAGAGAGAGATAGGGAACCCAACTCAGAAGAATGTGGCATGGCAGGGGTGGTGTTCTTTTTCACTATATTTCAAAATCTTACATGTTAACAGATTCACAGTCTGCTCAGTTGTAACTTGTTGCTGTTTTATGACTGTTTTTTGAGCGCATTGTTCCAAAGTGCATACATTTGAGATGTGACCACTTACTATATGTAAGATTGATACAATGTGTACATGAGAATGCAGTTTTGTAATATATATGACCTACATATTTGGAATAAAGTACATGCACTAAAACTTTATTAAGTTCTATTCTGGTAACAATTAACTGCAAACATTTGTGTACAATCTTTGTAAATGCCTCAAATCTATTAAATGCTGTCTTAATTGTCACAAGTGTTTCTAGCACAGTATTATAAATCTTAAACCGTACTTTTTAAAGGTTACATCTTTAGTAACTGGAATCATTTAAATATACCTATTCCAAATGCATCCTAAAGATTACTTGACTCTTGTGGATTCAAACATTCTATTCTTTCCAGAGGAAATAAAAGCGGTCATTTCCTGACACGTGACACCTCGGAATACAATGGATGTCCACAAACGTAAACAGACTAACAACTTTGATAGCCTTCTTTCAAGCACAAAGTCATTTAACTTATAATCACAGAATGACATAATTGTTATGGTGCAGAAGAGGCCATTTGGCCCATTTGTGTCTGTACCAGCTCTTTGAGCAATAAGAGAGATTAAGGAGTGAACAGCCATCACAGAAGATGTCAGAAGGGATAACATACTACAGTTTGAAATGCTCCTTTGCTTTATTTGGAGGATGACTTGGCATTTCCTCCAAGTCACATGACACAGGTCACCTTTACTCCAGACTTTAAAATGTAGCAAACTGTTACACAAGCAGACTACAGGATAGAAAGGAGATTGGCAAAAGGCTTTTGGCTGCTGGACTCAATTGGGCAGCTTCTTGAGAAAGAAACAAGGACCTTCTCTCTCCCCTATCTCATTCCATCTTCAAACTTAACTGTGAAATGAACCTCTGCCAGAACAGGTAAAGAAACAACCGTAACTGCCTAGGCAATTTCAAAGCCTTCACTTCAAACAACAAAACTATGAAACAACAGCAGGCCTGCATTAAAATACAGACTGACCTCGATGCCATTTCATTTTAATCAGTATTATTTTCATCTACATCTGCAGCTAGTTTTGGTGTGTGACAGTGTGAGAGAGACAGTTTCTTTAGTAGCCTCCAGGACAAGGGTTTGGAAAGTAAACAGACCTTCCTATTATTATTTGTTAAAAGCTTGCTTCTGGGTAACTTAAAATTGACTCTCTCACTCCAAGGGTAAGAAATAAACACATCCTTGTTCAAATACTTTGAGACAATGCCTTAAAATAGTCTGTAACGTAGTTTATAATCTTCCAACAGCTCACAACACAGGATGAAAATTGAATACTTATCTTTAAAAAGTGGTACATTGAAAACAATGAAAACTCTCTGCAGCAAAATGTGTGAAGGGATTAAACAAAAAAGTACTTGAACAAAAAGAAAAAAAGTTATTCATTTACAGCTTTGGTTAGAAAATCTGCCACACGGTGAGAAAGTGTATATATCACCCAAGACTAAATGGTATCTATGGTCTCACATATTTACACTAAACTATGTCAAAGAGCCGCAGATGAGATGGGAAAGATCGAGTCAAAACAAAGCTCCAGTGTTCAAGGACTGTTTGTACAAAAGCCTTTTGTGCTACAGTTTGGATTTCATGGGTTACTTTGGCTGAGAATGTATTGTTTCCATTAAAGTCACATGACTACAGGACTTTAACACAACAGCAAAAAGGCTGGGACAAGATATTATCTGTTCTACAAATGCACCAATTTGTAATTACACTTCCTTAGGGTCAGAAGATCATGCATTATTGTTAAAAATTTAATGCATATAGATATTTTGTTGCCACATAGCAGGGATTTCAGAAATTCTTCTCACCAACTAGTCCTGCAGACTTCCCAGAGCATACATTCAAAACCAAAGGACGGCCAATATATTGGTGCAACAGCTTTTGGAAGTCATGGAACATAGCCCAGTGACAACTCTTCCAGTAAATCTATCTCCCAATTAGGGGATGCATGGAGCAGAATGTTTCCCAAGTTATTGCAGCTAAGGTTATTCAATCAACAGCTGAGAGTTATAATTTGTCCCTCTCCCACCAACAGGTTTTTTCTGAGGAACTGATATTATTTTAATGGACATGACTAGATTTTTATGCATGATTAAGAGGCATTCTTCTTTTTTTCCCCTCTCATTTCCAGAAATGACAAGCTGGGCAAGTGAAACTTGACAGTACGTTTATCGGAAAAATGTGTTCAAATGATTATATGAATTAACATTTTCAGTATTAAATATTGAGAGGAGAGGTGTGATGTATATGGGTACTATTTATTGATATGCTTGGATTTTCAGCAAGTGGCATGTGGGTTTTGTTGGATAAGGGCGTTTAATAATGAACTTGTCTTAACTTTCTACAGCCATGATTTTTAAACACAGTATGTCACAGAAAGCAGTTCTCAGAGTGCTGATGGGAATTGGTTTGCATTGAGAGAGTTGTATTGAGAGACAGTGAACATTGAAAAATATTAATGTTCTTTTGGTTTAGAAGAATCAGAAATTGATTTTTTTCTTGCTTAGGGGAAAGTCCCATAGATTGAAAAACTTTTGGTTTCAGTTTGCAGAAGACCAGGTTGTAGCTAGATCTAAGAATAGTTTCTTCTTGAGAAAAGAGTTCCTTCAGAATCTCAGTGTATGGGAATTTGTTTGAAAATTCCAGACCAGAAGGGCTTGCTCAAATCCTAAAGGAGTTTTTTGAAGCTAAGAAAGTTTAAGCACAGTTTTGTGAATAATAAAGAAAAAAGCCATTTAACTCCCAAGAACTGGAACTGAGAGAAACATTTAAGGCAAACCTCAAGATGTGACAGAGAAGAGAACTCTCTCTGGTAGTTCAATACTGTATAGTGATGACATTGGGATAGATGGGATTGTATTTTGGCTGAGTATTTCAAAATCTTTCAAGTTGTGTTGCATATAAAGAACCTGCTTTATTCATTTTTATCTTTGTTTCTTTTGTGCAATATACTTCTGTTTATATTGTTAAAACCAGATCTGCAGCATTACATGTTTGTATTTTAGTGATCACATCATTAAATACAAAACAAAACATGATCTATCAAATCGGATTTCAGCTGGGGTCTGACTTAGACAATAGTAATATCAGTTGCGATCATAATAATGTTATAGCTTCTGAATCAACCAGAATATTTTCTTAAAATTTTACAGCAGCAAACAATTGATATTCCTTGCTGTTATGGTATTGCTACTGAATGAATCTACTACTATGCTGAAATCCCAATTTTATTGGTCTATATTCAGTTTGTTGCGCTTAACTGAAAAATAAAGCAGAGACGTAGTACAAATTGCACGTTACATTTCTAATTAATTCTACAGGTAATTACTGGCATATTTTCCATTGTATATCTCACCTTCCTTCTTCCATTCCAAGACAGATAGATGGGGTTTCAGTGCACTTTGTACTCATAGATTCAGAGTCAGAAAAGACATCGGATTCTTCTGGTTTGTCATCTTCTGGGACATATGCCATGGCCAGTATACGGGACTCAACGTTAAAGCATTCAATCACTTTTGGATTGGAATTATGTAGAGTGACAATGGTAACCTGACCCATTTGATTGGTACAACTTCCAATCTGCTCAGTAAAACAGAAGCGCAAGACATGTGCAAATCTGTCTCCATAGTTTTATGTGCTGCTAATAAATCATTATAAAACAAACTTCAGAAATCAATGGAACGGCAATATAAAACAACTCATAATTGATGAAAAATTCAACAAGAGTAAAGACAGGTAAAGCAACAAGACAGTGGAGGTGAACTTTACACAGTTGAGATGCAGGAAAAGCGAATAATCTGTTAACCGCACTTTTTGATACTTGGTTGTTCTTTAAAATAATCATAAGTTTTACTTTGAAGTTGCTAAGTATTTTCTGCATTGATTGACCTCATCAGATGAATGCTATTTCTAAGTTCCTTGTTAAACATCTTATAAAGACTATAAAGAAGATAAAGCAATTTGGCATTCGTACCTCCATAATTTATTGCATCACATGCATTTTTGTATAGTAATTTAAATGACCTATATGCCAGCACAGAAAATGTTAGAACTCAACAGGGGGTGCAGTGGTAGTGTCTCTACTTCTTGGCCAGAAGGCCCAGGTTCAAGTCCTACCTGCTCCAGAAATGTGTAATAATATTTTCTAACCAATCTGTTCAGACATGTCCTTCAACAACACAAGACAATTTGGAAACAGGTTGGATCACCAGACAAAGTCATATTTCTGTACTATAACTGTAACCCTAACAACTGTGAAAATGGTGATGGTGCACGAAGCTTGTTCAGATTAGTATGCAGTACAAAACTTGGCAAAGGCAATAATTGATGTTTAAAAGATAAGTCTTTTATTTGCAAGACTTGGGTGAACAATCAGCCCAACTACGCAGTTTGCATTTGACTTTCCTAAGAATTTGAAAGATCACACCTCTCACAGTCTGTAGGAGTTCCAGCTGAAATAGGTTTGTGCAAACACATTCCAGTTCTCAGTGGATAAATGTTGCAGTCATTTGAAAAGAAGTTGGCAGAGGCTCAGGGCTGATGTGGGAGATGGTGCATGAGATTATACATAAATGCTAACCAGAGAATTATGATCATTTGCAGAAGACCTGAACCTTTTCAGGGAATAAGCCAGAAAAATATTTGCAAAATATGTGCACAGCACTCATCAGTTTTGAACTGAGCATGGAGTAAAGTATATTCTGGCTCTTGATAGTTTTGTAAAAACAAGGGAGAGAATATGAGATAATGGGCAGAACCGGTGAAGATCTGAAGGAAGACAGTTCAAATCACGTATTATTTATGGAATCAAAGACAGAAAAATAAAATCAGCTGTACCACTCTACTAAATTGTCACGTGTCATTTTTGAACACAGTGATCTTTCTCTACCCCATCCCTTCAACCAGCCCTGCAATTTCCGAGCAAAAATCAAAGACAACATGAAGAAATGGAAGGGACTTTTTTTTAAAAAAAAAAGGAAATTCCTGCCGAACATCTGAAGTCAATCAACCAATCTGCAGGAGGCCAGCTGCCCTGGAAACACATCCCCAAGAACCCACCTACTAACTATATGTACAACGATGCTGACCACAATAAGAAACTTGTCCAGCCCCTTTTAAGGAACTCAGTAAAAATGCATTTACTGCAACAGCTAGCAACTTATTCTGTACATTCACAATCTCCTGTGAAGTAAAGTTCACCTCACAGTGAACTTAGAACTTAGTAAATAAGAAAATTAGATGGACAATGATGAGATACTGAGCAAAATGGGTCCATGTTCTCTGGAGATTAGAAGAAACAGATGGGATCTCACTGAAATATTGAGTTGAATATCCAACATTCCTTGAGTCAAGGATTCCAGGACGAATAAAGAAGGGGGATGAAAAGTGGTGGCAGCTTTGATCAGGGTGAATACAAATCTGGAAAAAGAGATAGTCTTGGAGATGTCAAACAGAATTGATTTGTTTGGTGTTAAGAAACAATGGGGGAGAGGTGGGGGGAGGGGGGAGATGGGGTGGGAACAATATATTCACGAGCCTAGGTGTGTATGTGGTAGTTAATGTGGCACTCTTTTTCAGGATTTTCCCGGTCTGGTTTGAAGGCCAGTGGGGACCCACTTGGAGCTGTAGGGAAGACAATGAGATTATGCAGACATGTCTTGTTGTGTCTCTTTAATCCTGCATTCTGCTTTTAATAGTCAGTAGATCGAGAGCTGTCAACAACTCATGAGGGTCAACCCTCTGTGTTCACAGCAGGGTGTGTTTCTTTAGTAAAACTGACAGGTTGATCTTTGAAACTGAAGAGTTGTAACATTTTCTCTGCTTGGTGAGGAACTGTCAAATTCCTTGAGGTCTCATCAGCTCTCCTTCACTCATCCATATTCCACTGCTTAATCATGCTGGCAGTCTTCTCTGTGTCTTGGCAATAGTTTATGCAGCTCTACCTTGCACTTCTTAAGATCATTATAAACAGCAAAGTCTTAGTCTTCTGAAGAAGAGTCATATCAGACTCAAACTGTGAACTTTGTTTCTATCTCCAGCACTCTGTTTTTATTTCAGATTTCCAGTACTTTGCATTTATTGAAGAAGAGATGAGTAAATGTGATCAACACAGGTAAGTCTACTTGAAACCAATGGTAAGGTTGTTTTTTGAAACAATAATCTAAGAGAAAATTAGCAGCCATTTGGACAAACATGGATGAATAAAAAGATAGTTAGCTTGAACCTGTTGAGGGCAAGATGGATTTGGGTAATTTAGATCATAGAATCCCCAGAGTGTGGAAACAGGCCCTTCGGCCCAACAAGTCCACATCAGCCCTCAGAGCATCCCTCCCAGACCCATCCCCCTATAACCCACCTAATCTACACATCCCTGAACACTACGGGCAATTTAGCATGGCCAATCCACCTAGCCTGCACATCTTTGGACTGTGGGAGGAAACCTGAGCACCTGGAGGAAACCCACGCAGACACGGGGAGAATGTGCAAACTCCACATAGACAGTCACCCAAAGGTGAAGTTGAACCTGGGCTCCTGGTGCTGTGAGGCAGCAGTGCTAACCACTGAGCCACCGTGCCACATTTAATTGAGCTTGTTGAAGGGTTAAAAGAGAGTATGACAGCAGTTCAGTTGTTGCTGCATTTATTGACTTCAAGAATGTGCTTCATAACAGATTATTAGCTTTGCTTAAAATCCACAGGATAAGAGGCACAACAGCATCATTGATAAAAAATTGGTCAAGGGATAAAGCCGTTTAAGGGGTAGAAACAGAATTGTGATTATGACGACTGCTTTTTATACTACAAAAAGACAGAGTTTCCAAGGTTCAGAAATAGGAACACTGCTGTTTTTGATATATATTAATAACTTGGACTTGGAAATACAAGGCACAGTTTTAAAATTTTCAACCGACACAAAACTTGGAAGTGCTGTAAACAGTGAGGAAGGTTGTCAGAGACATCAAGGGGGCTTAAGCATATTAATGTAATAGGTGAACACATGCTAGATGTAATTAAACAAAGATAAGTGAGAGGTAATGTGTTTTGGTAAGAAGAATAAGGAGAGATACCACATACTAAACAATGCAGTTTTAATGGATATTGAAGAAGTGAGACCTGGGTTATTTGTACACAAAGTTGTGTAGGTGACAGGACAGGTTAACAAATGCAGTTAATAAAACATATGGGAACCTGGACTTTATAAATAGAAGCAAAAACCAGGACGTTATGTAAACCCAATATAAAACATTAATTTGGCATCAGCTGGATTGTTCTGTTCAATTCTGGGCATCATATTTCAGTAAGGATATTAAGGCTTTGAAGAGGGTACAGAAAAAGATTTGCTGGATTAATTCCAGAGTTGAGGGATTGCAGTGGGTAGTCTGGAGAAACCGGGATTATTCAATTTACAACAAAAATGGCTATGAGGATGCAGATGTATGAAATCATGAAAGTATTACGTAATTTATTTCTTTGAAGGGTCACAAACCAGACTGCACAGGTTTTAAGGTGACTGTCAGAAGAACCAGAGACAGTCTGAGGAAAATCATTTTTTAAAATAATGAATAGTTAAGATTTGGAATACATTGCATCGTATGGTGTTTTTAAATTATTTTTTCAAGGATTGAAAGCATTGCTGGCACATCCAACATTCTGGGGGAGGGGATATTGTGATGGTAATGTGACTGGACTATTAATCCAGAATCCCAGGTTAGTGTTCTGCAGTCATGGTGAAATTTGAATTTAAAAACAAACTTAAGAGCTGGCCTGATGTTAATTGTTGTAAAACCGATCTGGTTCACTTATGCCCTTTAGAGAAGGAAATCTGACATCTTTACTTGGTCTGGCCTACATGACACTTGAGACCCAAGGGCATATGGTTGACCTTTAACTGCCCTCATAAATGGCCCTAGCAAGCCATTTAGATGAAGAAGCAGTTAGGGAGAGGCAGCTAGCCAGCGGTGCCTACATCCCATGAACGAGTTAAAAATAAAATCATTACCTTTCCCTAAGTTCCCTTGAGAAGGCAGTTGCCTTCTTGAACCAGTGGATGTTAGCCACGATGCTGTTAGAAAGGGTGTTGCATGGTTTTCATCCAACGACAGTGAAACAATGGCAATAGCATTCCAAGTCAAGATCTGTATGCCTTGAAGGGGTACTCGAGGTGCTGTTCCCATGATACAAATTTAACAGCAGCCTTCCGAAAAGGAACAGGCAAAATATTAAAGGCAGCAACAATGTAGGGGCATAGGGAAAAAGCAGAAGAGTGGGACTAACTGGTTCGTTCCTCCTGGTGCAAATGTAACAGTCTGAACGGTCTTGTTTTTTGTTATATTTTGAATTTCATGAGCATCATGGTATGTTACTGGGCTAGTGTTCCAGAGGCACGGGCTAACGGTTCAGATACACGGAGCTGAATTTTATGAGGGTCTGCTGTTGTTGCCCACTGCACCCCAAACAACAACCGACTGGATAAAAGTGGGGGTGAGCCCAGGAGAGGAGTGGCTGCCCGCAGCATTCATGGCTGTTAAGAGCCTGGAGAGGAGATTTCTGCCCCTTAGGGGCAGTGCATTCCATCTCAGTTCATATGGCTGCCTGCCAATCAGGACAGCAGACTGCCAGTGCTAGCAGTGCCCAGGTTGTCACTGCCAGTAATGCACTTGAGGCTGCAGGAGGCATTCAATGCAGGATTTATCCTTTCAAAGAGTTCATGGGCCAAGAAGCAGGATTAGCAAAGGGACAATTTTGAGAAGCAATGAGGAGAGGAGAATCAGGGTAGGATCCGGGGTTAAAGGGTCAACTCCTCGGGGGTGAGATGGCTTCCGATGCCCCTGGGGTTAATGAAGGAGAGGTTTCCCCCACCATCATGCAGGGAAACTTGCCAATTTGGCCACTTAGAGTGGGCCCCAGCTGCCATTTGTTCGATTAGTGCACTGGCTTTCTCCTGTAACATTGTAGTGGGGCACGTTTCAGGCAGGCCGCAAGCTGAGTTTAACATTCTGCCTGCCTGCCTGCAAACCCACTGCTGGGTAAGTGTTAAATGCAATTTGTAAATTCAAATACTGTTGCCTACTGGAGAAATTAAATTGAATTAATCGGGAATAAAATATATCTGCCGAGCACAAATTATCCTGTTTATTAATATCCTTCAGGAAAGGAAGCCTATCATCCTTATCTGTTCTGGTCTATATGTAACTCCAGGCATTAAACAATCTTAACTACCTTCTGAAATGGCCTAGCAAGCTACGACGTTGTATTCAAAATGGTGGCTCATCACAGCTTTCTCAAAGAAAATCAGGAATGAGCAATAAATACGGGATGTATGTCTAATGCTCAGTCCCATGAATTAACAATTTGATAAGTATCAGTCTACAGAATGCGATAACCACAATCAAATCAGTACAAGTCACTTGTAAGTACAGACCATATAAATAGAATCAGTTGTAAAGTGACAATTTACAGCATAGGTAAAAATGGCTAAGTCTGACAAAACTGAACTAGATTTTGAAAAAGAGTGAAATGAATATGAAACTATGGATAGTAATGTCACTGAAATCCTGTTGCTTTTCAGGATTGAAGAGGAGCTTGGGGAGAGGCCAGGAGCAAAGTTGAAGTGTGAAGAATGTTTTTAATCGATGGGCCTTTCGTGGCTCATCACAAAAGTGAAGCATGACAAAAAAGAATCTATATCATTGTTCTGTGCTCTAGCACTGGGAACACATTATAAATTAACATGTAGTTTAAACAATTCATACTCAACTGTAGCAGAATTATGTGAAGCAGGAAAGAAATTGGAGCTAAGGTCAACAATTAGTCACGATCATAATCAATGGCAGAGCTAGTTCGAAGACCTTGTGGTCTATCTTTATTTTTTATGTTTCTTACTTACCCACAGATATCCATGTTCCATAGACAATGAGTTTGGTGCATCAGATGCATTACAGCGTTCGGGATTGTGAACAGCACATTCTACCTATTAAAAAAAATTGAAGTTTAGGAAAGCATTTCACAACTTGTTAGTAGACCATGAGCTGGAGGAGATAATTGGTTATCATTTCTCCCTGGGGAAATCACTCCACTACGACCAGAAACAGAAGCACTGGCTGATTTGAGTCTTCTTTGTAATCCAATCATTAGACATCAAGGTAAATTATCACTGTGCCTAATGATATTATGAGCACGATCTGCACAGAATGGGGATCATCTGTTGGCATACCCTCACCAAGTGCTATGTTTCCCACAAGACAATTTACAAAGCGAGTGAGTACTTTTTGGTTACTTCAAGCTGCAATCCAAAACGAGGAAACTCCAAGTAAAGTTGATGTTAGAAGAATTACTTCATAGTTTCCAGCTTATGGTGAGAGCAATCTTTTGTGACTGAACGTGTAAGGAAACCTTTTGGCTCCAGGCCAAGAAAAGCACACAGCAGATGCCTGATATCCTATGAAATGTGGCAGTGTCTTTCATTATTAATGCAACTTCCACACATCAGGCAAGGAAGCAAATCCTTCAGTCATTCAAGCAAATATGGGACATGATACATGCAAAAAGTGATATAAAAGAACTACTCTGGGACAATTACAAAGACATATTAAATGGATCCATCAAATGACTACTAAATATGACTTTTTTAATGCTAACAGGGGCTGTAGTTTCAGCAGCACAATGTCTGTTCATTGAGCAACTTTTAAAACACCCAATCAACACTCCACCTGCTGATTACACTTACGGAGAACATGGATAAAAAAAATGAGATAAAACTGTAGATGCTGGAAATGTGAAACAAAAGCAAAGAATGCCCTGACAATAACATCCATTATGTTGTTTGGCATTATTAGTGTGCTAAATGGGACTGACAAGCTAGCACCTCAAAACTGAGCTTGCATGAGGTGCTCTGGGCCATCAGCACCAGCAGAATTGTATTCAAACACAATCACTAAATTCATCAGCAAGCACATTCCTTGCCCTACGATTGCTCAGGTATGTCCAGGTTCTAGCACCCCGAGGAGTAAAACTGATCTTTGGCATTGCACGAATTAGGCATTAGTGAATTGGCAGCATTTTTCCAATGACTTTTTCATTCAAGCCAGTTGACTGCACAATCACCCAGCACAAACTACTTGCCTCCAAATCAAACCATACGGAGATTCAGATAAAAAAAAGAGCTTTCCTTTTTGATGTGTTTGTCCTTCCCTAGAGGGACACATCTCATTGTCCTAAACACAGAGAGCTTGAGTACGACATGCGTGTTGCTAAGGTTAGGGCTCCCCAAGTTTGAACAGAGGCCTCTGAAATTTAAGATGTAAAGTCACATTGTTTATCAATGCACATTAGTTAAGATCTTATTTCTAGTGTAATACAGTTGAATTCATTAGAGCAACAGCTTACATGTTTATCTACAGAATTGTAGGAAGAATCCTGGGCCTTACAGACAGGTTGAGTTCTCCAAGGCACTGTTAATCAGTCTGTTTTGTTAGCTATTTATTAACACTGCCTTGGAGAACGCGCTTGGGTGTGACAGTGGAACATAGATCCTGTTACAAAGAGTCAAAGTGGAAACTAATAACCTGCACATGATCTCAGAACCAGAGGATCCTAAAGACATCACTTAGTAATTAGTACTATATTAGATGGCGTTTAAAACTAAGCACAGTTGATCTGTTAATATTGCTTACTCACTGTACTCAAATTCAATAAGTTTGACTTTGTTGTAAGGCTTGACATCAATAACATTTTACAAACTGATTCCAGGACCTCAAAAATGTAATTTCTTTGGGGCATTAAACAGGTTTTGATTGATATGGAAGTCTAAAATCAAATCAGTAGCTGGAGTCAGATAATCATTGTTAAAATGAAATTTGTAACTCTCACCTTGAACTCCTGCAGTTTTGACATCATCACAGGCATGTGCTTGACAAGAAGTGGGTGCTTTTGGCGCTTTACTTGTTTCCCATCATCCTCTGCACAAAACCAGCCCAGCTGGTTCTCATCCCCTATTTCAAGGAAGAAAACGAACAGAAGTAAAATTGAATAGTTACTTTATATAAAAAAAAATTCTGAGATCTATTTATAATTGAACCGTCAGAGACATAATATTCATTCATTTGGATACTTCATGAAGGCCAGTTATTCAATACACACGTTTCTTATTCAGAAGGAATGACTTTCTAATTCTGAAGTCTCAAAAACAAGTATTTTGCCCAGTGACCGTCTCCTGTCCATTATTCCTCATATGGAGATATTTACGCTTTAAAGTGTGGAGTTGGATATTAACTGTAAAAGCAAAAGTATTAGCAGAGGGCAAAAGAAACACTTAACTAGTGATCAATGCACATATTCCGCGAATGAAAACTTACCAAGGGCCAATTTGGCCATTTGTAAACTACTCATCCAGGAGAGTTTGCTCGTTGGAGTAAATGTATTAAACACTGCTGTAAAAAATGAAGGCCTTCCAGATCTGGGGAAAAAAAAACCACATCAGACTTTTAAAACTATTATTTCAAAGTGGTGTCAACTCCATTTCAAAATTGTTGAAAAGGTTGGAATAATAAATGATTGAATATGGTACCTTAATTTAAAATAGTAACTTTGAACATCTGTTAACAATAGAAGATGCATTCAATATCATTTGCATATGATATCCAAATAGTAAGGCACAACTACAAGGTGTGCTCTATGACAAGATGCATCTCTTCAGCGTACTGAGCTAAGTATTGCCTTTTGCACACAGCATGTGGTCTTGAGATAGCTGTCTGCGATTTGAAACATATATCATGACATCTATTCTACACTTGCTTTTTGCCCCAGCAGTACTGGATTACTCCTTTAAATCTCAATAGCACGTGCCATTCCAAACATGCAAAACTTATTTCTATTTAGAAGATCGATGCTTCCAAATATTGTCTTAAACTGGTCACATTGAAGAGCACTTAACAAAGGCAGAGGTATAGAAATATATTAACTTAAGGTTAAAGAGACAATGTGAAGATATATCTGCATATAAATCGACCCTAAAATGGGGTCACTCATGAATTATTCCATTTTTAAAAAAATTTCATCATTGATCCTCTCTCTGCTCCTCTTCTTCTCACTGTGGGGTAGCATCACTGCAGATTCTGCAACTGGCACTGCAGCATTTTTACTTTCATGCAACAGAACAGAAATAAGAATTGAGGTAAAATAAAAACGTACACCATCACTGAAGAATTTAAACCTTCATAGTTTTTGTGCACCAGAGCTTCAAATCCATCTCCTTGGACTTCCTCACTTATAATTAAAACAGAGAGTAAACTTCACATATATTGATTGATTAACAAAAAAAAACATACTTAATGCATTTTAAGATATAGGTGGCATTCCAAAAGAAAAGGTAAAATAGTTAGAGGGAGTCTGTTGTTTCTATGTCATACACCTATGTTATAGTCACTGTCTAACCCTTCGAGAAAATGTACCACAATGTCTCAGATCAACTTCCAGATTATCTTAATGTAAAACTGAATTTCAAATGGTGCAAGTTCAGGCAGATATCAACATTCAACAAGGAAATTTTGAATCAAAATGATTATTGGAACATATTAAAAAAAATACAAAGATTCCAGAATCCATGGATTATAAGACATTTTTCAAAAAACTTTGATGGCAAGTAATGTCACTACAATCCTGAAGTCAAAACTAATGCTCTGGGACATGAGTTCGAATCTGACGAACTTGAACTAATTAAATATATCTGGAAGTTAAAGCTAGTGTCAATAATGCTTATCATAAAACAATGGGAGATTGAGGTTAAGATAACCCATTTGGTTCACTAATGTTTCTGTGGGGAAGGAAATCTGCCATCCTTATTCGGTCTGGCCTACATGCAACTCCACACCCACAGCAATGTTGTTCATGGTTAATTACTATTTGCAATGGCCTCGCAAGCCACTCAGTTTAAGGGCAATTGGGGTGGGGTAATAAGTGGTGGACAATGAAAAATGTTGGCCATATCAGCATATCTCAAAAAAATACAAAACAAAATATATATTTTTATAGAAAATGATAATGTTGCAATATTGGGCACCATTTGAAAAATACATGAACACACAATTCCTTTGGAATCCCTACATGTTTGATATTAGATTCTGCTCAATACCAACTTGTCTGGTTTTCCAGGAAGCTGCAGTTGAATTCTGCAACGATCTGCTGCTCTTATTTCTTCTTCCTTTTTAAATATGAGTTTCTGAAGACCTGCTGTCCAATCCTGGCTCACAGCTGGATTTAAATTCTGTAAGAATTTGTAACAGATTTGTACCAGTAAATGAATTAATAAAATCATGAGTGCAAATCCAGGGGCATTACTTAAAATTAATAACATATACAAAGTGCTAATCAGATAATAAGATATTTTCTTTTCTGTAGATCATGGGTGGGCAGCTAAAAATTATTGCAATTCCTGTGATGTGTGGGAACATCAGGAGGCTTCATGTGTTTTAAAGGATCACAGGTACAGAAAATGCTTCCAGCTGCTTGAGCAGAAGTTCAGGATTTCCAAACTCAAAGAGCAGCTGGAGTCACTGTGCAGTATCAGAGAGGATGGGCGCTTCCTAGATTTCATGTTCCAGGTGGTACTGACTCTGCAGGCATTCAGAGTTCAGAATAGTAGTTGGGTGACCGTCCTGAAAGTAGAAAGGAGCAGAAGGTGCACACATTTTGGTGGGGGAGTGCCACTCTCAAATCAGTTTTCGGCATTGGAGATCGCTGGGAGTGTTGACAGCATGAAGGTGTAGGTTACATCAATGGGGAAAGGATGAGGCAGGAAGGAACAGCAAAGAATATAAAACTGGAGTGGATGTAGGAGCCCTGATCAAGGTGATAGACAGTTATTTCTGTGCCTGACACAGAGTCCCATATCATGTGTTACCTCCCAAATGCCAAGGTAATACAAATCCCAAGGGTGCAAATGTCCTGCAGAGGCAAGGGGAGGAGGTATAAACTGTAGTTTGGTTCAGTGCAATAACATATGGACAACAGGTATTGGGGTTTTATGCTCCTTTCTCAAGCATTGGGATCAGTTCTGCAGAAAGGGGCACCTATTAAAAAGGACAGGTTGCACATAAGAGGACTGGGACCACTGAATCACAAAATTATTACGGCACAGAAGGCGGCCATTTTGCCTGATCCAGCTCTCAGAAAGAGTTATTCAACGCCATTCCCCTGCCTTCTCCCCATGGCCTTGCACAACCTTCCTTTTCAGATAATAGTCAAATTCCTCCTTCAATATCACAATGGAACCTACTTCCATTACATTCTCATGCAGCTCATTCCAGACCTTAGCCACTCACTGCATGGAAAGATCCATTTAATATGCCTGTTGTGTTTGTTTGTTTTTTTTAAACCTTAAATCTGTGCCCCTTTTGTTCTTGATCCTTTCAGTTGGACTGGTTTTTGCCCTATCTAGTCTGCCCAGATCCCTCATGACTTTGAATACCTCTACCAAATATCCTTTCAACTTTCCCCTTTCCAAGGACTAACAGTCCCAACATCTCCAATCCATATAACTGAAGTTCTTCATTCGGGAACTATTCTCTTGATCCTTTTCTGCACTTTCTGTAATGTCTTCATGTCTTTCCTGAAGTGTGGTACCTAAAACTTGACTTGATACTCTTGTTGAGACCAAAGTAACGTTTCATAGAAATTTAACAGAACCTCCTTTCTCTTGTACTATATGCGTCTATGAATAAAGCCTAGTATGCTGTACACTTTATTAACTGTGCTCTTGATCCATTCTGTCAGCCTCAATGATTTATGCACCAACATCCCTCTGGTCCTGCAGCTTCTTTAGAATTGTACCTTTCATTTAAATTGTCTGTTCTTTCTAACCAAACTTGAGCACCACTTCATATTCCTCTGCATAAAATTTCATCTGTCACTTGTCTGCTCATTCCAACCAATCTGTCACTGTCCTTTTGTAGTTTTACAGAATCCTGTTCACAGTTCAATTATTAAGTTATTTTAATTATTCAATTCACAGGTCATTTACTGGCTCTTGTGTAGTATGAATATTACTTGCCACTTTTCATCCCAAGCCTAGATACTGCCCAGGTCTTGCTGCATTTGGACATGGACTGCTTTAGTATTGGAGGAACTGAGAATAGTACTGAATATTGTCCAATCATGAGAGAACATCCCCACTTCTGGCCTTACAATGGAGGGAGGGTCATTGATGAAGCAACTGAAGATGTTTGGGCGAGGACACTACCCTGAGAAACTCTGTAGTATCGTCCTTAGGCAGAGATGACTGACCTCCAACAATCACTATCAACTTCCTTTATGCAAGGTATGACTCCAATCAGAGGAAAGTTTTCCCCCACTGATACCCATTGATTCCAGTGTTGATGGGGCTCTTTGATGGCACATTTGGTCAAATGTGACCCAATGCCAAGGTTGATGGGAAGGGAGTGGTTTAAAGACAATTTTAAATTGAGAGAGACAACAAATATAGGAATAAATACAAGAATTAGGATCCAAAGTAGATATTTTGGGCCCTCAAGCCTGCTCTACTATTTGATAAGATAGTGACTGATCTGACTGCACCCCCCTCCCCCCACCTCATACCACTTGTCAATCAACGATCCATCTAATTCAAAAATAAAACCAAGAAATGTGGATGCTGGAAATCTGAATGAAAACAAAAAATTGTTGGAGAAACTCAGAAGGTCTGATAGCATCTGTGGAGAGAAAGCAGATTCAACTTTTCGGGTCCAGTGATCCTTCTTTAGAACTCTACTGAAGAATGGTCACTGGACTCAAAATGTTAACTCTCTCAGGACCGTATATGTTTCAATCTGCAGGAAAAATCACTGAATGATGTGCAGTAACTACAAAGTGGTGATGTTGGGTGACTTTAACGTTATCCCATTCATTATTCAAGTAACTGGAGTAGAGGTTAAGGAAGGAATTTCTGAAATGTGTTCAGCAGAATTTCCTTGTCCTGTACATTCTTAGTCCAAATAGGAAGGAGGCATTGGTTCTCTGGAATGAGGTGAGTAACATGCACCAAATGTTGGTGGGGTATATTTGAGTAAGACACTTGTAACACTTGTATCATAAAATTCAGATTAGAAACGGAAAAGAACAGTGAACAAGATAAAATAGAACTTCTAAATTGGAAAACTGAATCAAGCCAGGGCAAAACTAAACCAGATATTGGCAGAAAATAACACAATGATACAATGGATGATCTTTAAGGAAGAGTTGATTGAGGTACAGACTAGGTATACTCCAAAATGGAGGAAGGATAAGGAAACCAAAGTCAAGATTTCGTAATGAGGATGATATGGAAAATGATGAAACTTAAAAAAAAAAAGCAGGTATATGATATATACCAAGTGAAATACAATAAGTTGAAAGGGAAGTGAAGAAGGAAATGAGACGGGCAAAGAAAATGTATAAGAAAAGAATGGTAGTTAACATAAAAGACAAAAGATCTTCTACCAGCATGAAAATTGTAAAGAGATAGTAACAATTGTGGCGGAATATCACTGGCAAGTAAGGAAGAGAGATGTTAGAAAATATTGGAAGAAGCAGAGATGGTAGAAGTAATGAACAAAGTGAAAAATGATCAGAATGGTGATTATATTTAGAGCGGATAAGTCAACTAGGCTAGATGCTCAGGAAGTAGGAGGTAGAAGTAGCAAAAAGACCTTCCACAATGAGCCAAATATCCTTAGATATGGGTGGAGGTGCTACAGGATTACACAGTGACAAACTCCTTTATTACATATCTCCATAATACAGAGAAGTAAGATGATACATTTGGCAAATGAGATAGACAGAGGCAACATAGAGTAAATGGCACAGATATAGAGTACAAGCACAGAAGACTTGACAATAAAAATACATATTGAGAAAGCAGTTAGCAAAGCATATCAGATATTAGGCTTCAGAAATGGAGGGATTGAGTACCAAAATAGGTCGGTTATGCTGAATCTTTACAAAGTGGTGGTTAACCTGATGCCCTCTTGTAGAGTTCATGGATATAGGCCAAATGGCAGACAAATGGGACTAGTTTAATTTGGGAAACCTGGTCAGCATGGATGAGTTGGACCAAAGAGTCAGTTTCCATGCCGTATGACTAACTCTATAAGCAGACCAAGTCTCTTGTGATTGAACTCTAACTATATCAACTCCTGAGAATATTAAACAGACATCCATTTGATTCTTCACTCATAAGCTTGAGAAATTAGGTTAGGATGCATTCCATGTAACTCTAACTTGCTGAAGTTTATACATTTAGATGTTACGTAATTCGAGTTTAAAGATACAAACTACAAAAGCATGATGAGACAAAAAGATTTTGGGTCACATTTTTACTCTAACATATATATCAATAGTCACATCAATTCAATCTATCACTTCATGTTTCCTACACACATATTCAACCAATGCAAGTCTCTTTGACTTTAGCAAATTGAGTGAAGTGAACAGTATTAATACAGTTCTTTGTTGTAGAGACTCTTAATTTTAATTGCACTGAAGTTGGGGGAATGAAATATCAAGAGCATTGAATCAAGATTGCCCATTTTACATTCTTGTTCAAAGTTAAAATTATCAATGCATCTCTTAAAAGCACTTTAATTGCTGCTAATAATCTGTTACTTCTTACAAATCAATATCGCCTGGCAAAAACGTATATTTTGATCAGTAAGTTTATGTATGATATGAAAATTGGTGGGATGGTAAGCAGCAAGGAGGATAGCTTTAGATTACAGGAAGATATAGATGGGCTGATCAGTGGCAAATGCAATTCAATTTGGATAAGTGTGAGGGCAGGACAAACAAAGCAAGGGAATATACAATGAATGGTAAGGCCCTGGGAAGCACAGAAGATCGGGGGGGATCTTGGTGTGCATGTTGACTGGTCCTTTAAGGTAGCAGGAAAGGTTGATAAAATAGTTATGAGGGCATATGGGACATGGCTTTATTAGCCGAGATGTGGAGGTGCTGGTGTTGGACTGGGATAGACCAAGTCAGAAGTCACACAACACCAGGCTATAGTTCAACAAGTTTATTGGAAAGCACAAGCTTTTGGAGTAATGATCTTCATCAGGTGAAGGAGGACGAAGGACCAGCACTCCAAAAACTTGTGATTTCCAATACTCCTGTTGGACTATAACCTGGTGTCGTATGACTTCCAACTTTATTAGCCAAGGCATAGAGATTAAAAACAGGGAGGTTATGCCAGAACTGTACAAAAGTTGGTCTGGTCATAGTTACATTATAATGTACAGTTCTAGAAACCACATTAAAAGGAAGTGATTGTATTGGAGAGAGTACAGAGGAAAATCTCCAGGAGATTGTCTGGGCTGGAGAGTTTTAGTTACAAAGAAAGACTGGATCAACTGGGGTTGTTTTACCTGGAGCAGAAGAGACTGAAGGGGAATGTGATTGAGATGTACAAAATTGAGGGGCATAGACAGGGTAGATAGGAAGAAACTTATCCCCTTGATGGAAATGAATAACTGGGGACAGAGATTTAAGGTGAGGGGCAGGAAGTTTAGATGGGATGTGAGGAAAAAAAGATCACCTAGAGTCAATCTGGAACTCACTGCTTGTAAGGTTTATGGAGGCAGAAATTCTCATAACACTTGAGAAATATTTAGATGTACACTTGCAATGCTGAGGTATACAAGGTGATGGGCCAATTGCTGGGAAATGGGATTTTAGGTGGTTGTTTTTGACTGGCGCAGACTCGATGGGCCAAATGGTCTTTTTTCTGTGCTGTAGACCTCTATGACTATATTTTTAAATATAAATGTGGTAAAGTTTTACAATACCTGATAATTTCCTTTTAAAGTACCAACAAGCTGCGTAATCTGGCCAATCACACTTAAATCATGCATTAGGTTTTGTAAATCCTGATACAGCTGTCCTGGTCCCATATACAGCTTGTCTGGAAAAATGAAGTTGAAATAAATGAGGAACTGAGTAGTACAAAGAGATAGCAGTCTATTGCTGAAATATACCAATTTATTCAAAAATTATTCCATTATTCTTGAATACTGGGGATTAATAGTACATTAAATCATAATAATTGAATTCTTCTGCTTATCTACTATTCCAAACAAATCTAAGATATTAATGGGACTAGATATGTTGAATTGCTAATTTATATCTTAACTCCTTCTACCTGTTTTGATTCCATGATGCTCATTTAACGAAAGTTAAAGGGGATAAAATTTTGAGTCAAATTCTCTGGCTGCCTGCCTTTTGTCATCCTTCTTCGGTCTCTCCGTCAACACCAACAGTCAGATGCAAATGTTTGGCTTCTCCAGAAAACTGGGTTCTGACTGTCACAGCAACTCCAGTTACCCAGTGGGTGATTCTTCTTCTGGAGAAATGGCAAGCAAGGCACTGCATAAAGTCACCATTCACAATGATGAAAAGCAACAAAAGCATTGTGAACGGTTACTGAATTTAATGAAAACCCAGTTGCTAAAAAAAAAAAAATCAGAAATTTTGGGTAGAATCATCTTGTTTGCTGATGAGCTTGGAGGTGGGAGGGACATTTAACCAAACTTGTTCCTGAAATTTGCTGCCATCCTGTCTCTGCCAGAATTGAGTTCTAGTCAGAAAGGTCCATGGTTGACCTTCGCATCTATCAATTAATGCCCTCCAGTGATCACTTAACAGCTTCATTCTGCTGCCCTTGGTATTCCCCAGCAGCAGGCGGGACTATTGTCACGCAATGTGCACAGTAACTGGAACTGTTCGGCCAATGTAGTGATTGGAACCAGGTGTATCTCCTTGACTATGAGGTCCTTGATTGGGATTGTTAACCTGGCTCAATAAGGGAGCCCTGGGTGACAGTTATAAACAGGGACTGACAGTGAGCTGGCCAGTGTACAATGCGTATGTAAGTAAAGGGTGACTTGTTGATGGGCTACTGTGCTCTGTGCAGTTATTTCAGCTAGTTTGTCAGCTTTGGGGGGGAATGGAGGTGTATGCTGTGGAAATCAGCCAAACATTAAATCATTGTTAATGACAACCCTTCCTTTCATGTAGAGTAACATCTATTGTAGCTGCTGGGACAGGTTTTATCTACCCTCATTGATACAAGCAGACTTTTTTTTAAAAGGTTTGTGGGATCTTGACAGCTTGAGATTATTTTTAGCACTCGCTAACATTGGTAGACTTCTTCACATTTTTAAAGATCTGTGTATTTAAATCATTTTGCAGCTCGACAATTATAGAAATCCTATCTTTCCTTCAAGAATACTTAAGATTATTCTTAAAAATCATAATACCTACACTGTGGATAAGACATTGCCACAGCATGGAGTTCAAATGGCCTTGTGGAGACTGGATTTCCCACATGCGTGTCATAATCAGGCCTCTTGCTCTTAGCAGCAAAAATGTGATCAGTCAGAATTATAATTATAGAGTCACAGACTCGCCACAGAAATGTAGAGTTTTGCGTAGTACTAAACGTGACAGGAACGTTTAACATCCGACAGGAGTTTAATATAGCAGAAGTTTAACTGAATTAGTTCTTGATTCTACCGCAAAATCAAAAACCATAACAAGTTCTAAACAAAATCATGGCAATAAAAATGATAGATGGTCTGTCCCTTTAATTTATGCAATTACGTTTTAACATCTCAAAATATTTCTTGCAGAGTTTAAACTTTCAGTGCTTAGACCCATATACCTTATGTGCCTTGCATGGTAATTGAAGCATGTACAAAGTAACTATTGTCATACTTGTAATCCCCCCTGTTATAAAGGGATTGCCAACCTATGACATATGGGATGATCAAACATTGCCAACCAGAATCCCAAAAAGCACCTTTATCAAAGGTTTCCTTCATAGACTGCAAACAAGTTGTGTTTCTGGAGATTTAGAACAATGTAGCAGTAGTGAATAACTGTGGGCAGTTTCTCTGGCTAATTCAGTCAGTGCAAACACCAACTTCAATGCCCAGAGGAAGAACTTTCTGTACCAACCATAGCTATTAGAATTATAATTGTAACTAGTTTGTCAATAAAATTTGCAGAACATGTGTTGCCCTTTGAATTAAAAATACAACAGAAAGCAGAACTTATTTTATCCTCTTCAGAGAATACCAGCCAAAAAAGGGCCCCAGGACTTCCAGCAGTCCTTTAATTCCAGTTTTTATATTCAATATTATAATTGAAATTGTTTTTAATTGGCTAAACAATTGTAAAACTGCACATATTTCAGGGGAAGTAACTATTTGGAGTTCCTTCAAAGAATAAAAAATGAGATTTGAGGCATTGCCTGTATCAGATTTTGCTTGTTAATGTTTCACTAGCCACGTGGGTGCTTTCCTGGTGTTGGAAAGTATAGAATAAATTCTTTGTACAATGGTGTCTTTTTCACTATGTCACTATATGTATACACACTGCCACGGGGAATTTTGGGGAAAATATAAGCACTACTGCTGGGCCCCCTTTGGGTGCAGAGGTAGTTTGGGGAAATAAAGGGAAAAAAAAAACAGAAGTGTCAGGGGTTTTGCTCACTCTAGGAGTTGGTTCTGTGCCAGCTGAGTCAGTTTCTTCTCCTATGCATGTGTAAATAAAGGGTGACTTGGTGACTGGATTTAAAAAAGTGACATTTGAATAGGAAGCAAATAGATGTCTCATTGTTTTACATACTGTTTTGAGATTAATACTTTTTCAAATGCACTGTATGGAGTGCCAAAGGATATCTGATGTATTAAATATCAAGCATTCTCTGATTTATTTAAACAAATGGTTCTCTCTGCAAAGTAAATCTGCTAATTGGTATTGGCGACAGCTCAGCTGACCTGTTTTTTGACCCAATGGAAGAAATCCTGTTAATTTAACAGGCCCTTGGTAGATGTTAGCAAGGGTCAGAGTGGAAAAAGGTTGAATGTACGCAAAAGGTCCAGAAATAGGCATTTCAGCTTTCAAACACTCTCCATTCAAAGTTTTTTTTAAACTAAAAGTAACATCCGTTTGGAAATAAAGCAGTTTCATATAATGAGTTCAGAAATAGTTTTGATTAACGATACGTCTTAAGAATTAGCATTTGTCCCAAAAAAGGTAACCAGTCAAGATTTCAAAGACTTTCCAGTTTTTGTAAGAAGGAATCTTAAATCAGAATGTCTTTGTATTAAAGGGCATTTAATTGCTGTTTGTTACAGCAGCCATGCTAACCATCCAACCAAAATATTCAAAACTAAATTGTCTGATAGGCAATCCTTTTCATGCTTGCAGCTTCTATCCCTAGGAGTACTATGGTTAATAATCTTTATACTTGTTTGCAAAACCACCACCCTTCCCCAAGACCGCAAACCTCCGGTCCCCACCCTGAGTTATCAAGGCTATCACAATTAAACCATATCATGAAAGCAGTCACTACACTTTGCATTTTTGAATTGAAGTTCTATGCCAGGGTAATTTTGCATTTGTATTTTTCATAATTACAAATATTCCATCCAAAAATAAAGCTAGAGTTCATTGTACCATATATATTCTTCCTCCGCAATCTAATAGCAGTTCCTAAATGACAACATACGATTATGGGAAACGCAATGATAAATCTTTTCCTGCAACTGCTGACAAAGCAAGCTTAGTGAGCCATTCCGAACAACTGAAGACTTTGCTTGCTTTTATTTAAGTATTTACACAATCTTTAGCATTGCAATTGAATTAGTGACAATAATTTAAAGACATGAATAAAATGTCACATGTCCGTCCAAGACAATCAATGTGCTAAAAATCACTTAAATGTGTTGGAGACACAGAAAGCAAATCAATTTTATATCATATGATTGGTCTCTATTTGTGTCTTTGAAGTTTTAGAAAGAAAAATATTCTGTGAATTGACGTACTGATAGCTCTCAGTATACATTGTGCCATCAGGATTCAGGGAGTAAAGATTACAAAGTGAAACCTGGTAAATAACAAATACATTAGTGACAAGCATCAAGTTGCCTTCCTTCACAGATGCTGTTATTTTTAACATGGTCATTCTATGCACTGTAGCAATTTTTTCGCAACAATCTTGAAAGTACAAACTGAGATCACAATTTGCATGTAATGAGCTTCAACAATGCTAAGAATCACCCTCCCACTCACCCGCTTTCAGATCTGTTCATTTAACGGTCTGGCAGCCAAAATTCAGGTCTCATTGCGAACCACTCTCACTTGGAGCAGAATGTAACTTCAGTATTGAACAGAGTGTCTTTGTTCTATTGACCAGCATTAGGCCAGTCAAAGGCCAAAAAAGTGAGAATGCGAAGACAGGTTGTTCCAGTATATTGCAGTTAGCAAAGCAAAGTCTCAGTACAGATCGAGAACATTCAGGAGGGAAAACACAATAGGTCACTTTGTGTTGGAGTGAAACCATGAATTTTCTGATTGAGTGGCAAGTCTGTAGAGATACTGATTGATGGCTGGGATTCTCAGGCCTGTTCTTCACTGCAAAGCAACAGCAGCGTGAGACAGCCATTCACCTCATTCACTCCTCAAGGCCAAATCTCCAAAAGGAAATGGATCAAGGGTGAAAAATTGAGAGAAATATGTCGACGGAAGGGATAAGTGGAGAGGAGTTCCTGGCTGTGTGGAGCAGCAACTGCTTGGACAGAGATAATAATAGCTTTTTGAAAGCATCCTCCACATATTTTAAACCACTTGTTCGGAATGTTATTTTGGTCTTTTCATTCAATCTCTGTGATTTAAGGTTTTGTTAACCTTCCCCATCTTCACAGAAGGAATTTTAACAATTTTCCTGGAAATCTTTCAAGTGTAAGAAAGTTCCAGATAAAATAAACTTTTACTAATTTCCATGACAACATATTCAAGTTTGACCCTCTGAAATTTATTCTTCATCATTCTCATTTTTGCCTTTGTTGTGTCATAAGTACTAGTGCACCACATCAATTACCAGAGTTCATGCCTCAC